AATAGAACGCCTTCTCCAGCACAACCTCTTCTTCAGTGGGCTTTGTTTCAAGCTTCTCCATCATCTTTCCATCATCTCTGAATGAGAGCCAAGGAAAGCAAACAAGGCCTGCAGTGCTTTTTGCAGAAGTCAGTCTTGTAACTGGCAGCTGCTGATAGCACGCTTTGTATCTGCTCAGCCTGCCCTCAGATTCCAATAAGGCATCTTGACATGTTTGGCATTCATATATAAATATCTCTGGTCTTATTGCTTAGGTTCAGGCTGGCCCCCAGGATCACTGAGCTCATGACAAGGCTTCTGGCATCCTGAGACAGGCTACGGAGCACTGAAAGCTGCCAGGATTTGGGTCTTGTAGCAGAGCATCACTCAGCCCCACTGACTTCATGCCAGTCCCATAAACAGCACATGCAGATAAGCCATAGCCCCAAATCTAGATGCTTGACTTGATGCATGTATTAACACTACTGAGTACCTGCATTAACTCCACTGTGTTCCCAAGTGATTTTTATCCAGCTACTATTTCTCTTCTGTCTTCCCATCACTAACATCACATCCACAGGCAGCCACCACCCCTGCCTGCTCAGTGAGGAGCTGCAAAAACCAAAAATCCCTTCTCCCAAATTAGCAGACAGCAGCTTGTTTTCCATCCACGTCACTGTCACATAGATCTGCTGGGAGCCACTGAGGAAACCACTGGGCATTTTGCTGCCTTGTAAACATCCTGGGGGGGTTGTTGAGAGGTGCTGTGAGACCTCCTGGCGTGCAGAGCAGAAACAGCTCTCAGTGTGCAACTGATGTATGTAAGAGAACCTCTAAGTGGAGGTACTGGAGGCAGTAACAGAAGAGAAGGTCCATGTCTAGGATGAACGTATTGTTTTTGTGGCTGTAGATGAGAGGTCATTAGCTTTGCCAAGCAGCATGCAAAATGAAGGTCTCAGCCAGTTGGAAAAGATCTCTGAGATGGCCTTGTTCAACCCCACCCCATCCCCACCATGCTCACTGACCACATCCCTCAGTGCCACGGCTCTCAGCTCTGGAACATCTCCATGGATTGTAATTCCACCACTACCCTGGGCAGCCTGTGCCAGTACATCAACTGTTTCAGAGAATAATTTCTTCCTAATATCCAACCTCTCACATTCTTCTCTTTGCTCTTGAGATGTACAAGTTGTTCGCTGCAGTTCTGAGCAGTTCATTGCAGTATGGCCAAGTCAATGTTCAGCTGCATCCAGGACAAACTCCTTCCCACCCTCCAGTGAGGAGCTATTTGTTGTCTCTTTGCCCACATGCTGCCTGCCTCCCTGCCCCTATCTGCTGTGGCATTCAGTACGTAATCCTCCTCCCTCCTCCACCACCTGCCTAATTCATCCTCTCACTGCAATCTCAGTGTCAATATTTAACAAAGCCTGCAACACCATTGGGTTCTCTTTGATGTCTGCTGGCCCAGCTCATGCAGCAGGGCAGTTGAGCTCCATCATCTCCCACTCCTGCTTACAGACTCAGAAACGACCCTATTTTTTTGTGACTTCTCACCTTGGGCTTGGGGGCCAGACATGGCTCCAGAAGAGCTGACAAAGGATGGTGCAGAGTTCCTATTGCTATCACACGGAAATGTTTGTCACCTTCATCTAGTCTCACAAACACCACCCCTTATCACAGCCTGTCCTTTATAGGGCATTGTAACCAAACACAACACCTTAAAACTCAGCTGGAGGTGTGACCCTGCCACGAAGAACCAGCATGACCCTATCAGGTGGGGAGAGAAGGGCAGAAGTGGGGCAGGAGGCTCCAGGCCCCATGGCCAGCAGCATCCAAGGAACCTCTTTGGTTTGGAGCAGGGTGAAAAGAGCTGGGATGCAGAAGTGCTGAGGTTGGGCTAATAAAGGTAGGAGTGGAAAGGGCTGGAGCTGAGCAAGAAAAGAGGGCACCAGTGCTGAACAGTGAGTACCCAGCCTCCTTCTTGTCTGGACTGGGAGAACTGAGGAGCTGATTATAGAAACATAGAATCAGATGATCATTAAGGTTGGAAACGGCCTCTATGGTCATCAGATCCAACTACTGACCTCATCATCACATCCCACAGTGCCACATCTCCACAGTTCTGAAGCACCTCCAGGGTTGGTGACTCCACCACCTCCCTGAGCAGCCGTGCCACTGCATCACTGCTCTTTTTGAGAAGAAATCATTCCTAATAACCAATCTAATCTATAGGGATAGCACAGAGCTCTTTACTGCTCACTTACTGGCCATCAGAAATCACTCTGTGAAGAGCAAAGATTTCACTACCCTACTTCAGACAAGGAACCTAGATTGGTCAGCAATTCAATTCTCTAACACTGAGTGTTAGGGTAGGAACAACTGAGCATTAAAGGGACAGTGTTGCAAAGAACGATAGTTTATGCACGTACAGATGGGGAAACTGAGGCACAGAACACAGCCAGGGCTGTCAGCACAGAGAAACGAGCTGTGTTGTAGACCCCACAAGTCCTCTTTGCCACTTTCACGCTGCTTTGGCCAGCTGTGCCTGGTGAGGAGCAGGGCTGCAGCCCAAGCCCTTTGCACTACTTCCCGAACGGCGAGCTGAGAGGGAGCAAAACTCGCAGTGCTCATCAAAACTGCCCGTTTAAGTAGATGGGAGAGGTTGCGATTGCTATCTGGGCAAGCTCGTCGGGTGAAGGCATCTCGAGACAGATACCGCAGGAGACTTCCTGGTAAATTGCAGCATCGCAGAGGAGTCTGCAGCTACTTGTACCCAGCCATCATCGGAGCAAAGAACGTTTCGATTCCTGGCTGGTACCTGAGCTGATAATTGCTCAGAAAAAATTAAGGGTTGGGTAATTCCTCCTGAAATTAATTACCTTGCTGAGACGCCGCAGGGCAGTTTACCACAAGAGAGTTTGAAGCAGATGATATAACCATTTCCCTCTTCAGGTTTAAAACCAGGAAACAAGTCGCAGAAGCCCCCCTTTGCCACGAGAGTCCTGTAACTTTCCACTTTTATCGTCAGTGGGAAATTGTTGGGCCTTGTTCAGGTCATTGTGAAGCACACACAAAGGTCCAAAGGAGATGCAAGCAGGTATGGGCACTCCCAGTGCCTGCCTCATTCGATGTGGACAATTCCATTCTCTTCAGCAGTTTTCTTTGCTCATTTTAATATTTTTTATTAAGTAGCCACTACCATTTGCAAAATATTCATAAGGGGAGGCTGTAAATTTCTCTTAAATTTCTTTTAGATTTCTCTCAGGCAATGGATAGCTTTGTCTGCACATGCATGCCACCCCTTCCTTCACCCCCTTTATTTTAAGAATATCTTTCTATTTTTTTCAGTACAAGCAACTGTAAAATTATTGATTCCTTGAGCAATGGAGCCAGCCCAAGGCAGAACAGCTTGTGTCTCTGTCCCTTCTTCACCCATGGAATTTTTCCTTAAGTTTTCTTTTTATTACCAACCCCAATTAAATGGCCTTTCTACATATTCTATGTTTTTGGGACATCTCCCTCCTTCTGCTCCTTCCTATGGACCACTTCCAGCTGGTCCACACCTCTTCTGGAGTGCCACAGGACCCGCCCTGAGACCTTGCCAGGGTCTGGGAGTGCTCTGCAATGGGCAAAGTTATCTTGGCTGATGTTTGGGTCTTCCCTAGAGGGACTGGAATTGTGGTCAGGACCTTTGGAAGTAATCTTGAAGATTGTTTGCTTCACAGACGACAGGTGATACTTAGAGAACAGAATCTTCTTAAACATGGAGATGTGGCACTGAGGGACATGGTTTGGTGAGCATGGTGGGGGTGGGATGAGTTTGGGCTTGAAGATGTTAACGGTCTTTTCCAACCTTAATGATTCTGTCCTGTGTCGTGTGCCTGCCTCTCTGCGTATGCACATGTGAGTATCTCCTCTTCCTCACCTCTTTTGAATTAAGACTAAATCCTCATTGCATTTCTAGAAGAATTAGGAATTCATCTGCCTGAGAAAATAGCACTTGTGGTCAAATGCTGAGCTCACCAAGAACAGATGCCAGCTCTAATTGCTGTGATTCATTGCAGGTACAGGTCCTTCAGCAAACTCCAGCTCCCGCTGGTCCTCCAGCATCCTGGCTTACAGATGCACTTCAGAGAGAGCAGGAAATCCAACACCACCAAATAAACACAAGGGGAGGATGAACGCCGGCTCTTCTCCTGGGCTGTCCTTGTTTTTCTTGCTCCTGTTTTCAGCTTTATCCAGGGTTAATCACCAACAGTTCCGAATTCCACCCGCGATGAGGGGAAAGGGAAATGAGCAGGAGGGCTTTGATTCAGCACCAGGGCCCTGCATGCTGCCTTGAACCCCTTGCTGCTTCATTAGTTGCTTTTCCATGTTGGTAGACAGAGGCTGCAGGAGGAACACGAGCGCTGCCAAGGCCAAGAACCAGTGCCCTTATTCAGAGCACACAAATGCGCTTCTCATTGTTCTCATTTCCCCTCATATGAATAATAAAAGCTGTTTGACAGCATAATTACTAGAACTCTTTTCTGCCGCTGCTAGATCTCCATAATTTGTCACAGTTAAATCCTTAAACTCTTTTAACCCTTCTGTGCCCATTGAACCAGAGGTGATGGACATGATGGCATCAGCTCCTAAGACAGCAGTGCTGGTTAGCAAGCTGGGAACATGGAAGGTTTACTAGAAGTTGTAAGTCCTAATCATGCAGAATTCCTTAAGGCATCTTAAAAATAGAAAACTAACATTTCCTAAGGTGAGTAATTAAGGCACCAAAATCTCATTTTCTGTAGTGATTGAGGGTCCATGCTCCAGATTCTCATAAGAGCTTGAGATACCTGGATATCTTGAAGTACCAAGGTGCCCCATCTTTCTGAAGTTCAACAAGAATTTGGCTCAGCATCTTAGGGAATTCCATAATTGGACTTAACTTCCTAAGTCACTAGTGATGTTCAGAAGTCTGCCTGCATAGTTTTCCTATTTTGAGGACCATTTTCTAGGAAAATCTTTGTGTGCGTGTTTTGTTTTTTTTTTTAATTCCTAGACAGTTACTACATTCAACCAGTGCAAAGACTTTTGGAAATTAAACACCAAACCACCTTTCTTAAGGCCACTACACACCTCATTTTTGAATAGCTGGAAGCAATTTCTCTTGGGAGAAGACAACAGGTGGTAACAGCTTGCAGCAGGATTGTGACACAAGCTGGGAAGAGGAAATGTTGTGGTTGCTGAACTAGCTTAGAATAGGAAAAGAATTATCTAGTCATGTGCTGCCTCTGCTCTTGGGAAATGCAGCATCTTTAGTGAACATATGTGAATCGTGGTGTGTTGGTTTCACAGCTGATCTGGAGATGAGCAGCTCTGCACTGATTCTCCAGGAAATGCTCCTCATCTGTTGGGGCTGATGGCACCGACTGCTCCTCCGTCTGCAGCAGTGGAGCAACCATGGCTCAGAAGCCCACAGTGCTCACGTGAAGCGTAGGTCAAGTCACGATAGGTCAAGTGCCCCAGTGCCAGTGCAGATGGCCTCTGGGACAGGTTGCTCCATCTTTGAGACGTTTCAGAAGTGGTGGGCTGCAATAATCCTTCCCTAGTAGGAAGAAGTCCCAGAAATCAGAAAGTTTCCTATGCAAAATCAAATGTTTTCCTTCTTCTGCCACCTTTGTGGCCTCAAGTAGCTCCACTGATTTCAGCACCTAAGAAAAAGTCGCAAGGGAAATACAGACAGGTCAGTGAAGCGCTGCATCTCTATCTTCAGGTTCCTGCTTTTGCACCTGAAGAGCCACAGTAGATCAGAGAAATGTCATTCACCCTAAGCAATAATGTCTTCGTGAAGCAGAGGAACATTATTTTTGATAAAATGCTTGAACTGTTGTGATTTGAATAAAATCTTGCTGTGGAGGAGAAGGCCTGCAGGACAAAGTACAGAAAAAAAAATGGGAGGTAAATGATAAATGGCACTTTATCACTTAGAAATTATGTAATCACCTGTGCCTGCCTTGCACCTTGCCCTCCTGTCTCTTTCTGTAGGATTTCCTCCTTCCCATACCTTTAAGCTACTCCAAACACTGGCCAGTTTTGCAGAACTCCAGGAATTCCCCCATCTTCAGACCAACACCCCAAATAATCAGACATGCAACAAAAGCCATTGATGGCAAATCCACACATGGCAAGGCTGACTGCTTTGCTCCTCGTGCCAGGATGCACACATGGGGTCTGACTGGGGTGAAGCATTTCTCATGGATATGTGAGGGGGGTTCCGTGGCCATAGGGGAGAGCAGCACCCACAGCCCCACAGACACAAATGGAAGAGGCTGTGCTGCAGTAATGAGCTGTGTGTCAGCTCTCTGGAGCAGCCAGGACGATGTGGGAGACCACCAAGGGAAGCTGTGATGCTGCAGGGTGAGATGTTGAGTTCTGGCATGTTGCTCTGTGAGTCAGAGCTAAGTCAATGTATTTTGGATTTGGAAAGAGGCTGTGACGGGTTACAGTCTCTGAAGACCCCTGGCTATATTTTTATATAAGGGTACCAAATTAATGACATCCCGAATTCCAACAGAGGTTACTCTGCATGTCTGACAATTCTGCCTCAAGGCTCCACTGGGAGCCAGGGCCAGGCTGCACGTCTGAAATGGCAGCACAAAGTGGTGGAGCAGGAAAAGTGCTCTGCCTTTTGATATCAGTGGGAGATCTGGCTCCAAACTTGTTTGTCTTTTCTCTGCATTGCACAGACTATCTGTGGCCAATTCAGTAGCTCAGTAGTGATAAAGCATCGCAATCCAGAACATGATCTCAATAAGTTAATTGCGAGACACCTGGAAAGTCATTCTAGAAACATTTTCCTGTCATTATTGGCTAATTGTTGGAAGGATGTGAGCTCCCTCATCATCTTTGCTGGGTGTTGTGTTCCTTGGTTTGATGATTCAGGAGTTCAGATGTAGGTACCTGTGGGGCTCGCGTAGGGCTTGCATCCAGGCTTGCTCCACGTTCAGCTATATGCAGCCTGGCTGTCACACCAGTTTGTCTCCCTGTAACCACAATACCACCAGGTCCCACTCACAGTTTCCAATACTCACCAAGCAGTGAAAGCAGTTCCAGTGCTACCATGGATCATCATGGGCTTGTAGTCCAACGGGGCTGAAGACACTGACAAAGCTACCACAGAAGAGATCATCTGTTGGAAGAAATAGGTTACCCTTTGTGATATTGACTCCTTTTCATTATTTGTCTTGTTCAGGGTACTGGGAATGGGGTTTGGACTTTATTTGTTATTTTTCCTGGAAGCTCTATTTCTCATGGCAGTTTGGAAAAGCAGCAAATTAACTTTAATCATGCATTGCGTGCCAAAAGGGAGTGAACTGCACACAGCAGAGAAACGGCTTAATTAGGGTGCCCTTGGCAGAGGCAGGACTCAGTGCTGGGTGTATTCTAAAATGTAATTATAATTAACGGTTTACTTCTAAGGGTGGGAGACTTGGAGGGGTCAGTCTAGGACTGGGGTTCACTGCACACAAGAGACTAAAGAGACTTTATGTAGGAGAAGGGAAAAATCAATTGAGGTTTTGATGTGTGGAAGGGGGAGGAGACCTCTGGTGCCTCCTCAGCTTCCATCATGGGACATCCCAAAGGAACATCCTTTTGGAAAAGGTTCTGCTTACCAGGCAAGTTGAAGAGGAATAGAAAGACTAAGAACTCAGATGAACACGTGGCATCTTAATGAACCCTCCAATGGGGCTGTTGTCCAGATCTGCAAGATCAGCACTTGTCCTCATGGCAACTTGGTTCTCCTATTGCTTGTTCAAATGTTTTTCTAGGAAACAAATGTATGCAAAAGCTTTCACCAACCTGTCGCATCCCAACCCTTGTGTGCTGGAAAGTCAATTGGAAAATAACATTTTTAAAAAGCCCTGTTACCTGGAAAACCCTGAAAGAAAGTGACCAAAGCAAAATAAAAGCAAGAAACAGCTCACAAAAAACCAAACAAACAAACAAACAAAAACCAAACCATGCTTGTGGTGACATGGGAAACATATGCTCATGGTACCACAGTCCAGTTGTGGGTACCACAACAGCTGTGGTTTTGTAGGATGCCACTTCCTATTTCTCTCCTGTATTGAGTTTGAAAGCTTGCATGCTCTCCAGTGGGCTTTAATAACCCAATGTCCTGTCCCAGATCTGATCTCCCTGGGATGAATGGGGGAAATGGTTCTGCTCGGCAGAATAATGAGCAGCAGTTTGGGCACTTTCTTTACTGACTGAAGGTAGATGTGTTGTGGGAAGATGAAATGTTCCTCATTTCTCTTCAGTGCCTCCTGAAATTTATGGCTTGAGCTGGACATATTTCAGCGCTGTTCCATATTTCATCAGGAACAAGCTCAAGGGACATCAAGTACTGCAAGATTTCATTCCTGCACAATTCTAGGGTGAAAGCAAAAGCCTTCTTCTAAACTGAACTTCAAACTGCTCCACATCATGGACGAGGGAGCTGGTCAAAAACTCCTTTCAGTGCAGATCTTTCCTGTCAAGTCTTTGTTCCGTGCTCAGAGCTCTCCAAGTTACCCGTAATATGAATTTGGTTGTCCTGAACAGAGAAGTTAAGGGTGGTAAAATTAAGAAACGTGGTTAAAGGATGAAGTGATGGCAACAGCACCACTCTGAATGTACCATCTGCAAAATGTCTGCACTGCTGTTGCCTTGGGTTTGTCTACTGCAGTGCCATAAGAGATAGGACTGAGAAAGAAACAGAGCATGGCAACAGAGATGAGAAAGGAGAATTAAAGAAGAAAAAAAAGAAGTTTTATTAAGAAGTGTGAAGGAAAATTAAATATTGTTGGCCTGTCACACTGCTGTTGTTTTAGAGATGGAATAACATGGCCTCTAGCACAGACTCTAAGGAGATGGGTAGCAACATAGCAGACCATGCACAGAGATACTGAGATGCAGATGTATACTGACTTCTATGGACCATACACCGCAGTCGAAGTAGTGAAGTCACCGTCAGTGCTGTGCAAAGTGCTCAGACATCGATGGTGAGAGGAAGCAGTTGGAATGCTGTCAGACATCTAATTAAATCAGTCTAACAGGAAGGAGGAGATAGATGAGAAAGCTTAGACAAAAAAAGAGAAATTGGAGAGCCGAGAGAGGGAATATCAGGTTCCACGCAATGTGAGATCATTTCCTTCAGCTGCAGGTCTGTGAGCCATGGCTCATTTCAAAGAGCTGGACAAGTGTGGGGCAGCAGCCTGGGAAATATCCACAGTGATTACTGCAGAGGTGACTGCCTCATGGAATATCACCTTCTGCTCTGGAAAGGAGCTGATCAGTGCAAGATTAATGCAGAAAATCCCTTTCTGTGTGACTGCTGCTCATTAAAGATCGTGGCATCTTGCTATGACCTGGCCATGCCACAAGGTGCTGGACCAGGCAGACTAACGAGCAATCTGTAGCTTAGAGGCACAGCCTGAAGTACAGCACCTGAAGCAAAGCAGGCAGCTTGCCTCTGGGACAGACACACACAGACAGTGCTTTAATGAGCAGATGTTTGAAATCCATCTGAGATACCTCATGAGGATGCACTGCCAGCTTGTAAGGCTGGAGAAGTTTAAATGGAGCTATAAAATGAAGTCAGGCTTGATAGACACCGCTGCCAGGCAAACTCACATGGAAAGGAGAAACACGAAGGAGACCTCCTGCTTTCTTGCTCCAACCTGCAGACACCTAAATATAGAGAGCTCTGACAAGCTCTGCCACTCCCCACTCCATCAGCTGCGCTGCACAATCCCCATGGCACTCACAGAGGGCAACCTTCTGGGCAAGCACTGGGAATGACTGCCTCTGTTTTATGGCATTTGGAGCACATCTTGAACCTGCCTGTGGCTCTCAGTGCATTCCCAGCACCAGGGTTGGTGTGATGGTGCAGTGGGGGTTGAGAGTTTCCCAGCACTTGGCGCAGGAGCCCTTTGAAAAGCACAGTGGGGCAGTCCTCCCGCACTTCAGAAACAGGTTTTCAAGACATGATGCAAGGAATAGGATGAGCTTGTTCCTGAGGAACAATATTTTCCTGCTTTCAACTGATTCTGGTGCTACCACATGGTGAAAATCAGTCAATTCATGGGGTGCATGGGTAACTGAGGGACCTGCAGTTCCCATGGAAGGAGAAACTCTACTTAAACCCCACAAAAATTAAGCTAGAATCTGCAGATTCTGTGCCAGAACCAGAGCTAAATACTTTGTTCCTCTATTAATTGCTATTGGTCTGCTCTGACTTCATAGCTTAGAAATGTTCTTTGGTGCAAATCCAGAATTACAGACACCCCTGTAGTGTTGCAGTTGACTGGAGAGGTTGCATGGATTTGGGGATTTCTGCATAGCTGTGTCTAGACCTCTTCCTACAATGCCCAAGTATTATTTTTTCAATACATTGATCTGCTCAAGCAGCGTGGCTCTCGGCACAGCAGCAATGAATTCACTGCAGAACATTGCATGTATTGTCTGAAGCTTTCCTGCTTGGGGTCTGTAGCTCTACAAAGCTGGAAGTTGTCTTCCCTGTCTTCAAACATCTACACCACAGACATCTCTGTCTACATCAGTCTCCGTGGACGTTACACTCAGAGAAGAGAAACTGGCACCTTCAAGCCTGAACCTATCCATCCTAATTTGGGTCTGTGCTGCAGGATGTGTCATGCTTTCAGTGCTCCTGTTTTCTCCACTGACTGTGGAGGCTTCAGATGTCACCACCCCTCACACTACACATACAGCTCTCAAATCTCCATGAGATTATTGCACAGTTCCATTTGGAAGGATCCATATGACTTGTCCCAGCCATCCTTGAGCAGACTATTTAGGTCTCATTTCACTGCCTTCTGATACACCAGAGGAATGCAGAGCAGAGGCTGCTTGACAAGAACATCCTCAAGATAAGCACGATCTGGTGTATCTGATTGTATCTCTTAAGCTCGTTATCCTTGGGGAGCACAATGACATGCTGCACAGGCAGCTGCTCTCATTGCTTCTTTTCATTCAGCGGATGCTGCTGTCAAATTACATCCCACTTCCTTTACAGGTAGAGCTGCTCCATAGATTTTGAACTCTGCCCCTGTAAAAGGCTTTCAGTCATCGCTTCCATCACTTCCATCACACCCCGTCTCCATCAGTGACTTTTTCAATAACTGTACCTTCTGGACACTTGTAATATTTGTTCTTATCTGAAATTCTGTTTCTCACAACATGACCCAAAACTTCTGCTGTATTCTAGCTCTGCCTAAAATCTGCATACCCACAATGTGCAGTGATACCTCCGAGAGCTGCTTACCCACAAGGACATAAATACGTTCAGCTTTAGCCTCTATCTAATGTGAGCCACAACAGGGACTGACACTCCTCAACTTCCAGGCAGGAAAACCACAGTCATCACAGAAGATCCCCAAACCATTGCTCAGTGTGAACACATGCATCTTGAGGATCAGGCCAACTTCTTTGCGTAGGGGAAATAGTCCGGGTTTGACACAGATCTGAGGCTTAATCCTCCATCCAGATGAACTCCTACAAATGCCAGGCACAGCCTGACAGAGGCTGTTGGCTGTTGGATGATCCTCAAGGTCCCTTTCAACCTCAGCCATCCCTTGCTCTCATGAGAAAAGATGACGGCATGTTGGAAACTTTTCCCCTAACAATAGCCTGCCGTTCTCTTTGTGTGCTTGGTTACAGAGTCATAGAATCACCAAGGTTGGAAAAGACCTCCAAGATCATTCAGTCCAACCAAATTCTTGCACTGTAAGAGGCAGGCGGTTCAGTCCCTGCCATCCCCACCTCCAAAGGCATCAGAAAGGTAGGTTTGACTGTAGCAGGGTCAGGAAGAGGCAGAAGAGTATCAAACCTGGTTCCAACTCCTCTTAATCACCATGACTGCAAGTCCTCGTCTCAGCTAACTGAGCTTTTTAAACCTTGCACAGTTCACAGTGGCTCTGGGTCAAAATTTGCCTTCCCCTCGTTGCTTGCATACTTGAGATTTACTTCCAGTAGTGACATCAAAGCCCAGGACTATCCAGAACCAGAAAGACTGATCACATTCCAGTCTCTAAACAAATTAGAGCATGCCAACAGATGATAGTAGGTATCTGTGGATACGCTCCTAGTCTGTGGCAAATGCAAGGAATGCAACTTCTTTCATGGTGGGTTAAGTTAAGTCACATTGCCCCAGATTTGCTGTGGGCTAAGAGCATACAGGAACACTTTTCACAGCTCAGTGCATGCACTGCGTCTTGTTAAGCCGTGGTAACTCGATCACACTTGCACAATCCCCAGGCACCATGAAATCACTCTGTTCATGCAGTGCAGATGCTGCCTGCCTACTGTGGGCTGTATGCTCCTGTGCATTAGCCACAGATGAATTGCTTTGCCTTGTGCTCAGTAAGGAAGGAAAAAGAATGAAATGTGTTTTGTACAGTGAGCCTATGCTTTGGAAAGTAATAAATGGAGTCCTGGGGAGGGATGACTGTGGAAGAGTAAAATCATTTACAACTGTGCAGAGTGGTTACAGTTGGAATTCCTGGTGAAGATGAGTGTGCTGTCTCGGAAGGAGGGTGGACAAGAACAGCAGCACTTTTAATCCGAGGGACACACTCTTCCAGTAACTGAATTACTGAATAACTGTTGGCTTCCCATGAGTCTGCCCAGTGCTGCCTCTCCTCTCCCTGTTTCTCCATGCCCTCCAGTGTCCTTGTTCAAACAGCAGGCTTGCTGGAGGAAGTGACTCCTGCACAGTGCACCCAGTGGATATCCAGCTTTCCCAGGTCTCTGA